TTAATTCATGCAACAATTGTTAGAAGGTGCAAACATAAATGTTGAAGTAAAGTACAAACACTCACAATTGTCAAGGTCATGATTGTATAGTACTCAATAAACCATTCCCCAAAAAAATATGTAATATGACTTTCACAACTGTGAGTCTCAAGAATGAAAGTCTTAACTAGTGTTTTAAATTAATATTTAAGACACTAGTTAAGACTGATAACAATAACTGATAATGACTGCATGCTATCCAGCCACCATTATGAATACACGAGAAGTAAAAAGTAAGCTTAAAAAGGTCTATTTACCCAATGACAATAATAGCAATAGCCAAATTCAACATTATTATTATAGTTAATAAAATTTTATAATTTATTTTAACTTGTATATGTTGCGACCTGCAATTTTTAACATCATCCATGATTACAATAAACAGTACTGTATACAAAACTATGAAAGTGTCAGAAAATTTTAAGTCTGTATATGTAATTTTAACTTTTCATGATTATAATCTCAAAAATGGTCAAAAACATTTGATTAACATTTTTCAGATCTTTTATATCACTTACAGAACATCAGTTATAGGTTTTAAATTAGTGTTCTACAAGAGATCTAAAAATAAAATCTAACAGATCTTAAAAATGTTTTTGGTTTCTTAAAACTAATAAACTGCAATTTTTAATTCCATAAACAACTTTCAAGTATGTAATCAACCAAGATAGCAAGTCACAGGTCTTTTACTTTTTAGTTTTTAAAATAGAATAGGATTGACTAGAATAATCCTATTTCCTATGGTTATACAGTATCTAAATTAACTAATTAATAGCTCTGGAACCAAAACTGACAGAGGTCCATGTAATCCTGACAATGTATCTGCACTGTAAATAGGAGTTGCAAGTTAAGTTCTACTCCAGGCTGATTTCCTTCTTCCAGAATATTCTAAATAAAAAATTAATTTTATTTCTAATTATTAAAATTTTTACACACAATACACAATCATTTATCATACAGTGAATGTTTAAATTAATGTTCTAATGTTTTCAGTCTTCTTAATCAACCAAATTAACTTTATCATGAAATGGCAGTTTATTTACGACTAACCACATTGCTTTGTATATAATTATTAATTAGCCTTAATTAATATAGCCTGATAAATAATCAGGTATATTTTTGGCAATCCCAAGAAGGCAATAAAAAACAGCAAAAGAACCAAAAATTTTTGGAGAAAGTTTGATTAATAATTCTATTAAGATAAAAGATCTTGACTTGCTACCTCAGCTGCGGAAATAGCTGACAAAAGAAAAAAATTAAGAGATCAAAATCTTGTAAAATTTTTGATAATTAAGAATATAGTTTTGTGAAAATGTAAATTAAAGCTTCAATAGTTGCTAGGTAACAAATAAGTTTGTGCACATAATTTAGGAGATTGGAATGTTTTGGTTTGATAATGATGAAACAGCTCAAAAACATTTACTGATTTGGTGAATTTGCTTATACTTGTTACTCAATTAATAAAGTTTGTTACATATTCCATACTCTTATAATAGAATTTATTTTTTATAAAAAATTATTATTAATAAGCATATGAACTTAAAGAACATGTGTTTGAAATATGAAATCATCACTCATACAACTTATACCTCATTATTTTCATATTCAATGATTATAATATAACGGTATAGGGAGAAGGTGGTATTAAGGAACCGTGCAGGTATTATGGAACCACTCGATTTCAAACTGATAACAAATAAAACGGCAAAACCGTATTTGGGACAAGACTATGTCTTGGAGACGAAATCACTTTGATGCTCAAGGCAGATCTTGTTCTCATTCTCCTATCTTCTTTGATATCATTGCTTTTGGGCACAATCGTTAAAACTTCACCTGCCTTGACCACGAGGTCATCCATGAGCCATTTTCGGTGAATGTTCTGTCGGTAAAAATTTACTAAGAAACTGATAATTTACTTAATTTGTATCGGCAGCACGATATTTACAATAGCGTCGATATATAATATAAATCCAAGATTGCATGGCTGTCAACTCAAAAGGTCAATTAACGTGAAATGAAAAAATGTCTCTCCTACCTTGTCCCTGATGTCCACGTTGACCTCGACCATGTGTTCTGTGTCTTTTGTTCTGTCATTAAAAATTTACTAAAAAACTGATAATTTACTTAATTTGTATTGGAACAGTGATATTTACAACAGCGTCGATATATAATATAAATCCAAGATTGGCACAGCTGTCGAATCGAAAGATAGTAAAAAGATGTCTCTCCTCATTAGAGTTTAGGAGCAAAGTGAGGTCAAAGGGCGAAGATCATGCGCAGGCACCCTCAGTCCTAAGGTCAGAGTTCGCTTCTTAGAATGACTGCGGGTGGTACTCTCCCCTACCTGACTTCGGTGGGGTGAGGTGGCTGTTTTGCCTGTTTATAGAAGAGGGTCACCATGTTGGATTTTATTTTGACTCGATTCTCAGTCCCCTGACTACCTATGAATCTGGATTATTTTATGCACAAATGATTTGGGCACCTAATACTCTGTGCCAAATATCAACTCTCTACATGTACTCCTTCATACCTCTATGCTGATAAGAACATGAGGCAGTACAATTTTATAAACAAGACATAGTCATGTCAATAAAGGTGAATTGTAGCAGATTGTGGCTGAACTGCACTAGGCAGACATCCATAGCAAGGGGAAAACCCATTTCACTTCAGTTAAACAGTTGTCCGCATTTAATCAGCAAATTTGTTTTTTTCAAAATTCGCAAGTTTTGAATGCTAAGTGAATTTAATTATTTTTTAAATATAAATCGTGTAGTTGTAGGTTCACTGATGCATGTATTCCATTCCAGAGACTTAAAGGTACATATTAATCTGTGTGATGTTCACATTTTTTAAATTTTCAAGATGGCGATGCATGAAATATGGACTCCATTGGTGCTTTTACAGTAATATGGAAGTCAACTCCTCCAAACTCTCTCTTTGCAAGCAGACATTCGTCCAGAGCAATTTGTGAAAAAGACACTAGGTAGAAAGTCAATTCTTCCTGAGAATATCGAAAAAGAGCTGCTGAAATATATATTGTTGATGGAGGTCATATTTTTCTATTATAAAAGCATTTTTGCGATAAAATACATTGGAGTAAATNTTATTATTATTATTGACGTATTTTAATATGATAGACAAGTATACTAAGGACTATTAAGTATAAAAAGATGTTTTGAATGTAATTAGAATAAATTATTATTTCTGGTTCTTTTTCTTTTAAAACTCATTTTTAATTATATCTTTCTAGCACTTTGTATTACTACATATAACTCATTAAAATATGACATTTCAATATACGACTGTCATTAAATTTCTAAGTTTAGAAACAGGATAATATAATTAAAATTAATAAATTTTCAAGAGTTTTAGGAGTTTTTCAAAAATTTTCGAAAAATCTAGTAAATATTACTTTTATAATTGAAAAACTTTAATCAATATAATTTATAATGATATAATTTATGACCAAAATACTTTAAACTTTGTGTATAAATAAATGCTGTATTAATACATCCACGAAAGTATTCTTAGGAACTTAAAACCAAATTATAGTTATATAACTTTATTAAAAATCTCATCAGTTTATTAACTATTTCGCAAATATTAGTGAAAAATATTATAATCATTTTTATGAAATTCTCACGCATAATATTTTATTATTATTTTCACGCATCCTTTTTAATGCTATTAAAAATATTCTTAGTGTTAGAAAAACGATGAAACTTAATTTCATCGTTTTTATCATTTATGTTTCTACAGAATTACTTTTTTTTCTGTATAATCTTTTATTTTTTATACTAAAGTTAACATTCGAAGTTATGCTTTCCTTTTAATCTTTCAATTGCTTTTATAAAAACTAAAATTATGACTTATAAAATTTATTTATTATTTTCTATTAAAAGATATTAAACTACATATATTATTATTATATTTTTATTGATATAAATTTAATTTAAATAATAAGCAAAGGGCAATCTAATAAATGCTTTTGTGTGTGTCGAGACGTTTTTGAACTACTCTTTGTTTCCTACAAAAATTAATAAAATAATAACAAGCGATTATTTATTGTGGCATCGTCACAACGCCGGGCTGCAACATTAAATCATCTTTTAATTTAAAAAGTCGCGTGACTTTTGGTCCAGACCGAAGTTCGTATATAGTTAATCGGAGATTTCTGCTCCTAAGCTTTCTATATAGGGCCTATAGTCTCGATTTTCATTTATCTAACTCTAGGAACTAACGAAGAACAGAGGAACAGTAGGAATGCATTATCTGCTATTTGAAAATTGTAGTCTATTAATATTTATTACAAATTAATTATAATAAATTAAACCATCATTAATTATGATCTAATAGACAATTAAACAATTGTATTTTAATCTTAAATTTGAAAAAAAAATCGGGAAAAATTAGCAATTTAGCAAACATTAACTTATAAATAATATTATTTTGATGGTGTAAACTTGAAAAATTTTCATAAAATTAAAAGCTTGCATTGGATTATTCCATTTTTCGAATACTGTATACACTGTCGTTATTAGGAACATTTAGTTTAATAGTTACCAGTACTTTTCGCACAAAAAATGTGGGTGTAGTTATGATACCTTGTTTACAATTCACTATAATGAAAATAGGGTTCCATAATACCACCTTCTCCTCTACTAATATAAAGTACTGCAAGACATCCATATTGCATTTAGAAAGAAAGATCCTATTTTAATGGAAAAATACACACTTTTATCAAATACATTACATATTTACATATTGTATATATCACAGATGCAAAATTCTACATTTTCAAATGGAAATTATTCCACATTATTTTTAAAAATTTCTTTGAAATTATTCTACATTTTTTTCAAAATATATTTGCTTTTTATTTTAAATATATTAATTTATAAAAATAATTATAATAATATCATAATTATCATCATCATCATCAATTATAAAATTAATCATACCTTGTTGTAAACGAGTGTAATGACCTGCAAGAGTACCATGTGGACAAAATGCTAATGGTAACATGGTAACTCCTTGATCAGAACTGACTGCAGATACTGGAGGAAATGATGATCTATTAGATTGACAAAATCTTTCCATGTCATTAAGAATAGAATTGTATAAGCATTATGTATTCTAAGTTATTTTAATGAATTTCAGAATATGGTAAATATATCAAAATGATCTTTAATTATCATCAGGATTGAGAAGCAAGTTTTAACCTGGAAAAAAAACAAAAAAATTATAGTTAATTTAACAAATTAGAAAATTATATCTGATTTCAAAGTTTATAATAGTTAATAATAAACAAAACAATTTTAATTATTTATCAATATTTTTGCATATTATATTACAGTAGAGTGTCGTTTATCCGAAAGCTGGTATCCGAAACGTCCATTATCCGAAAGCATTCCAGTCGGCAAATTTAAATTTTCGCTAGTGCTGTGGCGCTGCAATTTTCGGCTATTTCTCGGGCTACTCAAATACTTTACGTTTCTGATACTAAATTAACATCTGAAGTATAATTTTTTATTGTTTTTATATTTTTCAATAAATTTATTTTGTTTGTACAAAATAAAAAAATAATTTTTAACGATACAATAGTCTTCGTTAGGCTTAACATCGACGAAAATTCAACGCGAAGCGACATGCAACAGAGAGAAATTTCAATATGAGATAAATTAATATATTTTTTCGTACATGATTCGTTATCCGAAAAATAAGTTATCCGAACCACCCCAGTCCCCAATTGATTCGGATAAACGACGCTCTACTGTATATATAATAAAATTGTGTTAACTTAAATTTCAAATTAAGAATATACAAGGATAGAATGAAAAACTTTGTTCCCCTTTTTAATTGGATTGGCATAAATTAATGTAACAAAAATGAAATTTGTACCAGACTACACAATTATTTTTCAACAATCTCCTCTAATCTCAATATACTTCTGCCAGCATGCCACAAGGTTGTGGAGTCCATCATAAATAGTTCAAGTTTTTTATCAAATTCAAGGGACTGGTTGACAAAGTTTTCAGAAAAAGAGACCATAGTCAATTCTGAATGCCTTATTGAAACTTTAACAACCTTTAATAACTTCACTATGAATACTCCCATTTTATTCTTTTCTGATATCACCTTTATCCAAATATCACTAACAGAAGCCTAATCTTTAATTTGCCATTTTAAAACTGATGTTACATTTCTGTGTGCCATTGCTTGTCTACAACCGTGTTTCTCGATCTTTTTGAAGTCGGGGAACACTAAACTTTGAGATTTTCTTCCGCAGAACACTTAAAATACATCAGCTTTAAAGCAGAGGTGACAAAGCTTTTTGAAATCAAGAGTACACTCAGTCTAGTATATGACGTCATTGGCATTTGTTGATTACATTCCCATACAAATATTATTTTACATTGTATTGATTTTTCTTTTCAAACAATTTTTAATTAATTGTATATTTGATTTATTCATGGAACACTTGAAGTGGCTCCACGGAGCACCCATGTTCCGTGGACCGCAGATTGAGAACCACGGAGTCTACAGGTTTGAATCCCTCAACAAATTTTTGCTTGTTCAATTCTTTACACTCTAATTATACCAGATATACCTACTTTTAAATACATAATTGACATATTATTTGTATTTTTTTTTTTTTTTTTAACTCTTTCCACCCTGTGGGCACTAAGAGGGCCTCTTTTAACAAGTTCATTATGGCCAGGCCCACAATGGAGCAGCTGGATGGTGAGGGACGGGGCAAACATATCCAGTCGGATCACCCCTGAAAAATTCCTGGGGATTTTTCGATCTCAAGTCCTCCAGAGCAGTAGGCTGCAACCTTGACCATTTGGCCATCCCGTCGTCTGTTATCTGTGTTTAAAAGTCCACATGAAATTACAGTAATTATTGAATAACTTCATTTTCCATAAGCAGTGAATGCTATATCATCTGTAAATCTAAATTATTGATGTTTTTATCTAATTTTATTCCAATTTCTAATTCATCTAAGTTTAGACTATTACCCTGTAATTTATTTTAAATGGAACTGATTGGATAAAATGATTTGCATAAACCTATTGTAATAAAAATTACATTATTTTAACAAAATATTAAAAGATGCCTACTGGATGACAAATCTGAATCACTGATATTTGAAAACTATTTCAATCTATTTAGACAACTTATTCTAAAATTATTTGTAAATGTCAGATCACCAATAATTAACAAGGCTTTTTTTCAACAAAAACTTCACAATAGGAAGATCTCTAATCAGTATTTTGTAATTTTTACAATTTAGTTATACATTTTATGCAAAAGATTTTCAAAGACTTTATCATCATCATCATAATTCCTAAATATAAAATTCATATTCAGTGAGTGCCATGAGCTATTTGCAAGGGATAAAATAATGTCCAAAGAAGTATGAATGGCTATGCACGAAGTGTTGTGATGCTTGTGTTCATGTATGGAGTGAAGCTTTAATAATGCAAATAGACAAGAGTCACATTACTGCATGTGAGATGAGGTATTTGAGAAGTGTGTATGGCATAACACGTAGAGGCCAAATGAGAAATGAACAAGTGCTGGAGAAATGTGGGGTGAAAAGAATGTGGTTCAAAAGGTGAGTAAATCAGCTCTGTAATAATTTGGCCATATTGAGAAAATGAAAGAACTGTTGAGAGTATACATGGGAAAGGTGTATTAAAATACTAAAACATTACTGTCTATTGACATTAAAACACTTTTTACTAACACAAGCACTTTAACAAGGTGGATGGGAAGCATGGTAGGAGAAGGCTGATAAAGTCTTGGTTGGAACAAGTAGATGAGTATCTGAAAGAACCTGAGGTGTTGAGTCAGAAAGAGAATGTGAAGAAGTGCACTAGAAGAGGCATGTGTGTGTCTGAAGCAAAAGATGTGTGAACAGAAAGATATGGAGAAAGTTGCTGATGAATGATTTGTAGGATTGTAGTCCCCTTTTGCATGCTGCTCATCCTTTATGGATTATAAGGATGAGAATATAAATATATATATATATACATGTTCTATAAAATTATAGTTAACAAGATAAATATAGAGCAAATTTCTTACATTAAATATTCAAAAAAAGAGTTTTTTCTTGTTTTTGTTGCAAAACACAGTTTTTTAACAACCAATAAAAAAATTCATTTAGATATTTATCTTGTTAGAGCTGCTAGGGATTGCAGCAAAGTACTTTATTGTTTTAATTGACAGAATTCTGATATCAGTCAGTTCTAAATAAAAACATAGTTTATAAGCATGTATATAATGTTATGGAGAGCTTACGCTTATAAGGTTAGGAAAATAAAGACAGTAGCACATTATCAGTAAAATACCATTTTATGGTATCTGTCATGAGATATATTAAGAAACAAAAAGTCATTAATCTACATAAAGTTTAGTAAATGTTATAGATAGATACATAAACAGCTTCTATAAAACATGCTTCTTATTTGGAAGATGCCATTACTAAGAAACACATAACTAATACTCTCAACTATAGATTGTACAGCTATATCATGGCATTCTCAACAGCAACAAAACACATCATTATCATGACAATATTTAGTAAATTAAATATATAATACAGTATATTTTCAGAACTGTTGAAGTTAACATAGTCAATGCATACATGATAATGAGATTGATTTTATCATCAGAATTTGTACATATTTAAGAGATGAGAGAGAGAGAGACTGATTTAGACTTCAAAAATGCAGAAAAAAAGAAGAGAATGTATCTGTATTTCTTTATTACTTTCTTCTCATAAGCATTTACACATGTAAATTATGAGAGGAACATACACATTTGAGGAACTTGAAATATATCAACTTCAAATATTCCATTATGTTTCATTCTATTTTCAAACAATTTCAGTCTGATGACGACCATTTAATACCAAAGAAAATATCTGCTACTATAACTTTTTACATTTTTTTGCTGGATTTTTGGCATTGTGTGTTGGTTTTCTTACATATATCCAGTTTCTGCTAGTCGTAATATATACATCATCAAAACTAGCCCGATAGATTTTCGGCAGTCTGTTGGTATATTCTGCTAGTCATTGTACTCACAGAATATAATATGAAAGTTATTATACTCAAAAGTGCATACATTGAAGACATTTATCTGTAGAATGTTTTCATATCAGAACATATATAATTTATTTAATTTGAGATGAATAGAGAATAAAGAATATTACATATTGACAAAAGAAATTAGGAAAAGTGGTTCTGAAATATATTTTCAATTATTTTGGATAATTTTTTTTAAATTAACATTTGCAAATCACACCTAAATTCAAACTTTCCAGCAGGTTTCCATAAATGTAGAGATTCATATTAAATTAACATTTAGTAAGAATCTACATTTATGTAAATTTTATTGAAAGCACAAACATAATGTTTGACAGTTCCAATAAACATTTCTATTTTGTTCTCTAGGATAAAAGTGTGATGAATTGTAATATATGATCTATTCAAAAGTAAAACCTTCAACTGTTATTTTGAACCAAGTAGAATAAGGTATATTATTAATGTGCAAAATGTTGCACAATAAGCCATTATAGCATTATTTTCTCTTCTTTCTGTTTTTACAAAATATGAATTTGACCAAAGAGGATTATATAAACTAGACTTTATTATAAATCTTAACCTCATTTCAAAATTTAATCTTTTCTGTTATGTCAATATTAAGATTGAACTAAAAATAAATATCAAATGAAAATAAACAAAACATAACAAACATATAAACTGAGAAAATGAATTGGGTTTTCTCCAATTTCTCTTAGTTCTGTCATCCAACCAAAGGTTTGACAATGTGTTGCTAATCTACAAATGACCATATTTTATATATTTTTTTTTTTTTTGATTCTGATGAAACCGTGTTGTTGATGAAACTTAATAAATATTTTATATTTATTAAGTTTTATTTCAAGAAACACCTCTAAAGTTAATTAGGCTAAATATTAGGTATTTATAATTTAAATAATCAAACAATATTTTTATATAAAAGTACAGTTTGATTTCTTAACTCAAATGATTTCCCAAAGATTACTCTTATCTCCAACTAATTAAGTAAAAATTTAACAAGTATGCAAATAAATATAAAAATTTACAATTGAAAAGCACATATTTCTGCTTGAGTCTTCATGACTAATAAAGACTCAAACAAAAATAAATGTTTCCTCTCATATATACTA